TATTTATTTATTTTAATGCTATATTAGTATCTCCTAATTTACAATGAGTATGTATATTGTACCTCGCTTTAGTACCTGTTTCTGTTTTCACCCTCAAATTTATGTTATGTTAACTTCATTTATCCATAGCAGATTGGACTCCTCCACTACAAACAGTTCTGAGAAATGGTATAATCATGTTGCTTTCTTATCAATATGAAGAGATTTTACAAGGAGACTTCTGTGTTAGTGAAAACAATCTCCTTCTGTTGACTTTCCCCATCATAGTTACATGCCAAACCTACAATGCAGGTGCGCCTACACATGCATTTGATGCAGGAGCAGTTTACTTATAAATAAATTACTCCTGAGTAAACACTCCTGGGCTGGCGTCTACATGTGCAGCGATGTAGAAGCAGATTTGCTGCTAATGGCAGCAAACTGCTCCCACTTCTTGGGTCCCTGCAATGGACCCCTGCCACCACCAGGGAGAGCTCTAGGTTCCTGGGTGCTACCCCAGGGACTGACAGAAAGCACTGGGACGTTGCATCCTGCCCCCAGGGACTGCCTGCTGTAGGGGCAGAGACAATGTCCCTTACCCTGGCAGTAGGGAGCTCCTGGCCCCAGCTCCCTGATCAGGGGCAGAGGACTTGGAAAGAGTTGCAAAGGAGGGCCAGGGGGCTGGGACCTACCCCACCCCTGCAGCTCTTTCCAAGCCCTGTGCCTCAATCACTTGATCAGGGCATGGAGCTGAGACCTGGCCCTGACCAGAACAGTTCCCAGCCCCCACTGTGCTATCACGGGATGGGGGCTGGAGAGCCTGTTCCCCGCTCAGCTCTGTGACCACTGAGCTGGGTGCAAAACAGTCTGGAGAACCTATTCCTTGCTCAGCTCCATGATCGCAGAGCTGAGCGAAGAATAGGTTTCCCACCCTGTTCCTCCCCCAGCTCCATGATCACAGAGCTGGGCAGGAAACAGGTTCCGCAGCCCTCACCAGTAGGGAGCTCTTGGCGCTGACTCCACAACTGCAGGACTAACACTGGAAGATCCTTATTTCCCAGCACCAGCCCTGTGGTCACGTAGCTGGCGGTAGAAGATGAGGATCTCATAGTGCTGGCCCTGAGACTGTGGAGCTGGTGCTGGGAGATAAGGATCCCCCAGCCCCCACTCCCCCATTACAATCTTGGAATGGGGGGCTTGGGGCTCCCTGCTGCTGGGGCAGGAGGTTATAGTCCTTGCCTGGGCTCCTGTGGTGGAACCTGCCCCTGCAGCAGGCAGCTCCCAGGGTAGCAAGCAATCTCTTACCCCCTGGTAGCCAGCTGACTGGGAGCAGATTTGGTCCTGGTCAGGTGTCTACGCAAGCGCTACTGTGCAGTTAATAATCGCAAGTAAATTTACTACTTGCGTTTACAGGTAGCAAATATATTGCAAATAACAGGGTTTACTGCACAGTAAGCATGTGCACGTGTAGACGCACATGCTTACTGTGTAGAGAACTACGCTACTGCACAATAAAATGTCTTGTGTAGAGACATGCTGCATGCCCTTAGACCACAGCTCCTGAACTTCAGGTTGTTAAAGAAACCAAGCTCTGTTAACATAATTTTCTTAAACACAAGAAAATATATGGTACTTTTTGGCTTTCTCATGGCCACCTGGTGCAGTGAAACTGGCCACTACCCTTGTCTATGGACTGGCTTTTTCCTTTATCTCTCTGCAGGGTACACAGATGGAGATACTCTGTCAAATTTTAGCATTTTCCTTTTTAGAAACTCAAACACAAATATGATATTTCTCTTTTTTTTGTTTAAGGTCCTTTCTGTGAACAGTGCTCTTAATTCTAGATTTCTGATCCTAAATATAAAACTATCACTTCTTGCAGATGACTTCCAAAACAGCTAGCTGGGAACAGTATTTGCAACTAGCCAAAAATCAGATACATTGTCTCCATTTCAGCTAGGAAGTTTGCTTGATATCCACAGTGTTTTATATGCATTTCTTTAAGTTCTCCTAGTTTATGTTTAGGGAAACCTAAGTCTTTCTGGAAAAGGAAATGTCTTTTTAGCAATCATTTAGGAAAACTGATCTTGCAAATATCTTCAGTACCATTAGCATAAAGTCATTGCTTCAATCTTTCTATCATCTTATCATCTTTTCTTATCAAAGTGGCAAGTATCCATTTCTCCATGTGTAGCCATTTTTAACCCTGTCTTTGCTTTTGTTTTTAGCCATAGAGTTCTTCCTGGTAGTTCCACACTAAGTTTTGTTCTTTCTTAAAAGGATCCAGTCACAAAGGAAGGCACTCTCACTGGTACTTTATTTTATATCTTCCATAAATCTAATTAGATACCTGTGTTTTTAAATCAAGCACAATCAACCTGAAGGAATCAATAATAATAATAATAAAAAAATGGAGGACAATAATGAAATAAGTTAGTACAAAATAGGTCCTTATTTACAAACTATATCATATACAAGTTCAGTCTCTGATTCCATATATATCTGCTTCCAGTGACCATATTTTTTGAACTGGCCATGCAAAATGTTCCAGATCTTATAGACTGAGTAACCAAATATAATGATCACACTTCTTTTTAGGTACTTATACCACACTTCCCCCATATACTGTATTTATTCAGGAACTCTTCTATGGGTCCACTTATTAACTGTCTTCTGAAATACAAATGTCATTATTACACTTTGCTGTAGACAGTGACAGTTCAGTAACTAGTCCAACCTCAGGTAGACTTTAATGTTCAGATCTACAGAATGCTCATCTTTAACTTTTAAAATTAACACATTGGATAGGAAAATAGCAAGACAGAGAGTATGCATTGAAAATGTCCACTGCTACTTTCATAGACTTTCTTTTCCCATTTTGAGGGACTGTTACTAACATTCATAGCAACACAGTTTGGTCTCTATTCCTGCTTTCTTTTCACCTACACAACCATCTTCTTATCTCTGCTTTAAAAGTCCAGGAAATTTGTTTCTTTATATGCAGTATGTTTTCCTGGTACATATTTTTCAAAGCTCTTTTTCCTTCAAAGGCAAT